TACTTTGACATGCTGGAAGAGGCAGACAACTGTACAACTAAGTCATTTTGAAACATCCTATTTGTCTATTGGAGCAAAGTCTATTTACTGCTATTTATTTTTGTGATTAATGTGCTCACTCTGCCAAATGTATATCACTACTGAAGTTATTTATCACAGACAGGAAGAAACGCCACCAATGTTACATTTAGTGGGCTACCCTAAACGGAAACCTGAGGTTCAGAGTGGAATAGTAACAACCAGCGATTAAAAAACAAATGTTAATTGAAGTATTTGAGGCCTAAAGCAGAATGGACAGTTCAGTTTCAGAAGCTGCAGACTCAACCTGTCAGTGAAGTGTAAAGCTACCAGCAAGTTGTTCTTTTTTAAAGACAAACTATGAATGTAGGAGAATGTATTCTTGAAGTGTTCAGGTATTTCCATGTTAAAGTCTTTAATTCTTCACACATGATTTCTAGAAGCAGATGGCTTTCTAAAGATGGCTGTTGAGATGCTTCATCTAGTCCTATTTGTAGCAATAAAAATAATGTGCTTAGGTTTCAAAACTAAGACTGATATAGTATTTGTTATTCTTCTAACTGCTAAACTTAGGATCAGTAAGATGGATACGGGAAATGTTTCAGGTGGTAGGAAGTACCTTCCTGGTGTGCCCCAGTTCCTGCAAACCAACTAGTACTGCAGTGCGGCCAGGACCTGTGGCTGCCCAGCTTCTGTCCCATACAGTCACACTGCTGCAAGCAGCACATGCTACACAAGGAAAAGAAAAGAAAGTGGTAGAAAAGCAACAGTGGTTTTAAAATAGTATAGAATAAAATGCTACTCTATTTTTGCCAATAGGCAACAGAGCATGAGATTTTCACCTGTAAACTGTGCAGTGTGAGGCCCTGCTACTACTCGGAAACTGTGTTTCTGGAAGGTGTTGGTTATTTACATTCTTTTCTTTTAAACTTTTTCCTGGAAGTTGCTTCCTGTAAATAGTTTGTCATGTAAAAATGAATGTATTTTCCTAATTAATGTCCATGCCAAGCCAAAAGCACAGAAAGGGACAAAGTTATTTTATCATCAGTCTTGCCATAGGAATGTGTGGACAGGTATTCCTGCAGAAATAAAATCTGTGGCTAAGGAGAATAAACTTTCCTATTAGAATAATAACTCAGCACATGAAATCTGTTTAACTGGGCTTTCACAAAAGAAAAAAAAAAACCCAAACAAAAATGTTTAATGCTTCTGAAGTGTTGTATTTCATTATTAGGATACTTGGAACCAACATAAAGGGAAGGATGCTGTTTTCCTTTCCAACTTCACCCTAAAATATATCAAATCTTGTCAACAAAAGTTTACTTGGATATTTACCAAGCGTTATGTGTACATTAATGAAAATTCTGGAACAGTGTAGTTAGCTTTACACAATTCCAGTTGTCAACCTGCCTATGAAGTTGGGGTTTTCTGAACAGAAAGCCAAATACTTTGCTGTTCTCTTTCACTGTGATAAGCAGCAGCAAATGTGGCTTTAGACTTTTGACTGATGAAGAAGATAGATACTTAATAAACTATTCCCACAGCTACAAGCTGATTGTAGTAGCAGAAGTACTACAAAACTTCAGGCTACTGTTCACCTGTGTTACACAAATGTGACATGGCTGCTGTTGTCCCTTGATTGCCCAAGGGTTTTTTAATTCTTTTGAACTCTATGTGGCAGAAAACTATTAGTGCATGGTAATATGGGTGTAAGAACTTTCTATGTTGAATCTAATGAATTAGCAAGTGAGTCTTCCAGACTCCTGTGATACTACAGGTGACGTTAAGAAAAGAAGCCAGTAGGGTTAAACTAGAGAAAGTATTTTTTTCTAAAATGCCATGAAAACATCAGAAGAAAGAAAAGAAAAAACTCCTAATGCTGTGACACTGCTGCTGTGTTAAAATAACAGAGAATGAAACTAACATTAAAAAAAAGTTGCCTTAGTTGAATTGTGCAGTAGATTTATGTAAGTATTTCCCAGTAATTCCAAAGTAGTCCAGAGCAAACTGCCTGTCACCCTGTGGGTAAGCTGTCACTGCTAACATTTTACTCAGTATCAGTCTTGAATGGTGCACGTGTCCGGGGGGCAGGGTGTGAGAGCCCTACCTCATGCTTACAGGGGCTGGCTGTGCAGTTAGAACTCATCACTGCCAAGTGAAGAGGCTGAACTAGGGGGCGAGTGGGGTGTTTGGTTGGATTGCAAAGCGCTCCTTTTGCTGCATCAGTACTGACGATAAGCAGTGGGAAGTGCACGGCCTCTGGGAGGACAGGCCACGGGGAAAGTTGACTTCTTTTGTGTGCCTGTGGCTATTTTTCCTGAAAACTGGAAATGACCTCAAGGGGGCACTTTTTTGCTTTGCTAATGGCTACTTTGTAGGAATTCTTTGTAGTGTGTACTGGAAGACTTCATAGCTTCTGGTGCCAGAACGCAGGTTCTATCTGGTTGTTCATATGGCAGTTAATGACTTTGCTTTCTTTTATTTAATTTTCTAATTATTGAGGCACAGGGGGAAGGTTGGTTGTCACAGGACTACTGCCTGCAACTTCTTTACCTTTCATCCTTGCACTATCAAAAGTAAACCTCATTTTAGTTACAACTGCTGTTCTGTCCTTTGCCTGATGCAGCTTCTCTCTTAGGAGCAGCAGCATTTTGTGCTGGAGTGCTAAAGTTGATGTGGAATAACTGAGTGCATGAATCATTCCCTGTATTCATGGATTTTTTGACTTAGTCACACCAGATAACTGAAATGCTTTCTTTAGGGATTGGTCTACGGAGACAAAATGTGTACAGAACAAATCTTTCACTATGGATACACTTCTTGTGGGAGATTAGTGTGATGACTGATTTCAGCAATTGTTTCATTTGTGCCCCTGTAGGTTGGTATGGACTGTTTTAACTAACTAAACACATTAATAACTCCCATGGAGGAAAAAAAGAGACAACCACAACTAACTTACATATCAAACGACAAATTCAGCAAACATAAACTTCACAACAGTGTTTCTATGTAAACAAGAATATCAAGAGTTATAGAGTAAGAATTCTTTATACTCTCTGGGTTTAACAGACAAGTAAAAAGACATTTCCTGACTGTATGGAAAATGTATTTTGATATAAAAATTTTGCAGTGTTAATTAAATTTATCAATGCATTGGTTTGAGTTTGGTCAGTTTTGGGTATTAAACATCTTGTGCTGAAAAGAAACAACCAGAAGAGTTAAAACATTTTTTTCCTCTAAATCTAGAGAGAGGTAAAAGTTTTGCATTTTCTAATAGTAGCATATGATAAATATATTATACAATGGCATGTACTTTGGAACATGATAATAAATATTCTTTCTTTAAACACAAGCCTGGAAAACTAGAATTCATAAGAAGAAAATGTTGTTCCTTGTCAAAATATCACTACCTGTTAGGTGCATTTAGCTATTGTACATTATTTTGTTGAAGTAGATAAACCATAAATAATTTGAGCATTTTGTGTATATTCACCAAAGTTAAACAGAAATGCAAAGGAAGTTACAGTATATTTAAATCTCTTTACAATCACTTAACACAGTGTTTAACTGAAATCTTCAGGTAAAAGTGCATTATTTTAATATAATACACATAAAAGACCACTCTGGTTCTCTGCCTTCTGCTTCCTAGAGGCAACTAGCTAAAATTAGTTTAAAAAGGGGAGGGTAACATCACGTGTTTGTTTACAGCATAAAGTCCAAGAAAACTTCATCATCTGCCTATCGAGGATCTGCAAATGTGAAGATAGATGGGGAAGAGAAGGATCTTCAATAGCTGACAGGCATCTTTCCAACCTATGCTTTCCCATTTAGGATTCCCAGGTTCTGGATGCTAATCTAGCAGCAGTGCCTGGATTAAGCATCTATAGGCCAGGGCACACAACTGCTGACCAGGTCAGTCCGCCGTAGGCTCCTTCCAAGGTACTGCAGAAGGATTCAGTGATGTAAATTCCAGTTTCCAAAAATAAAAGAAAGAAGAAATGCAGAAGAGGGAATGTGACTGCGATCTTTCAATAATTTACTTTCCTTTACTTGAATTCATCTGATTTGATGATTTAGGGGTTTTATAGTAGCTGAGAAATAAGCTGTGAAATTTGTCCCTTCATATTTGAAATAGTTTGCAAATGAAAATATTACTTGAATTCTGTTACTTTAATTACTTAGCAATAGTATGAAAATCTCAAATAATACTTTAATCCTTAGGTGTATATGGAAAATATGTAATCTTAAATTGGCCATATATGAGATGTGATTATCAACACTGAAAAAGATTCTTCTTCATTTACAATGAGCGGCAACTTCTCAGATGATACCTCAGTGCTGTAAGTAGCTCTGTGCAAGTATCTGGCAGTGGACAAAGTACAACAGGACAGTACTGTATTTTTCATTTGTTGGTTTAAGTCAATCAAGATGGAAGAAACTGGGTAAGTACAGAAAGGACATTAAAAATTTAAAACATTTCTGGCAAAATTTCCAGAAAGAAGTTAACGCTATAAACTTGTTTTAGCTAAAAAGGAGATTGTCAATCCTGATGATTTTATTATATGCATGTAGTAATAAATTACAGAAGTTCTACTGAATACTTCTATTTACTTTGACCCAGGGCAAAAGACTAACGGGGCCACTGTTATTTAAGCAGGTAGTTGACAAAAATGCATACTATAAAACCAGCCAGGATCCAACGTTTTAGATTTGTTTTTGAAATGGGCAGAGAAAGTGGGTGAAACTCCAGTCTTCACACCATGCTGATTCACATTAGCAAATGCCACAATAAATTACTGGAGACTATACCGCCTATGCACACCAAGGTGCAAGGCTTTTATGGATCTTCCTGTGAGTCCTTTGTACCTCTCTATGGTTTAACCACCTACAACTTTGAAAAAAATACTCTGTAAATCATGTATTAAACGCTTGCTCAGCATTAGAATCAGTATCTCATACCTGAGGCGATTGACCTGCGGTTGTTACTCTGTAACGTCACTAAAAGTCAGACTGCACGCAGACCTTTCATCTTTGCTCTGTGGACCGTCCGGTGAGACCTGCAGGGGTGGCGATATGAACCCCCGATACTGCTTACTTGACTTGGTTAACTTCTTGAGTTCACTGGTAAAGGAAATGCCTTTCCTTTTGTCATCTCGTGCTGCCTGTAGAGAAGTAAACTGCATCACTGAAGTGGTGTAACAGGCTGTTTGTAGCTGGGAAACACAGAAATCATATGGAAACATCTAACATGCTTCTGTTCTAAGCAGGCCTCCCTTTTGAAATTCCATGTGGCTGTGCTTTCATAGCCAAGCACGTTCTGATTGTTCTGAATAAATAAATCGAAAATTATGAATTGTCAAAGATGTTTAGCAAATTTGGTCTAAACTTATACAGACATCTGTGCTTATGGATGTTACTTAAAAGCAACAACTACTGTGGGTTGCTGGCATCTGCTGGAAGGGAGAACACAGCTGCTTCTCCCAGCAGGCATGTCCTTCCTTCCTGCTGTTCTCCAAAGCCTGTGATAAAGCAGCAGAACAACTCTTTCACTGGGAAGGAATAAAGGCAACTTTATTTCAGTAGTTCTTAAGTTCTGCCCATTTGACTAGTCCTGCTTTCGTGTGATGGGGGAGCATGGCATGCACAGCCAGAAGACTTTGAAAAACAGAAAGCTGGTAGCAGAAGCTAAAGGTTGTTACAGGATTTGCAGGCTGCAAGGGAATCAGGTTGCTGGATGTAACTGATGCAGTCTGGCAAATCAAAGAAGTAAGGAAAGTGCAGAGAAAAGAGGAATCTGCTTTTTACTGTAGTCTCTTCTTCCCATCTACCCTCACACCGGTCATGTCTCTCTTCCATTGAAAGCAAGTTCCCATTAAAGTGATCATACACCACCTATAAAACCTGCTGCAAAGTATTTAATCTCTTACCTGAACCTGTTCTTTGAGTTTAAGGATAAATTTTCCTGCTCCCTTCCACTTGCTTTGGGCCTGAAACACGCACTCTTGATCAGAGAGAATCCTCTGAGACGGTTTAGACATCGAGGACTTTTTGTTTGCTGGCTCTTTTGTCACCTCTTCCAACAGCACATAATCACTTGGATTTGGATTGCTCAAAATGCTGTAGGAGTATTTGGCTTTGCAAAGAGTCTGTTTAAAAGCGGAAAAAAAGAAGTCAAAAAAGAAAGCATTGTTTCAGATTCAGGTTACTAAACAGATTCCTCAGCTAGTGCTGAGAACAAACCCCACCTTATCTTGTGTGAAACCAACCTCCACCCTACGTGTTTCAGTCCTTCTACATGGAAACCTGCTGCTTACCTGCTGTATGACGTCCTGAGCTGTGCTGAAGCGGGGAGCTTTGATGACGGTGCGTGGTTGCTCTGGGGAGACATCGTGTACCTGAACAAAGAAACTGTCATCCTCAGAGCTGATGGCTGCATCTTCCTTTGCTTCTTGAAAGATGTTTCTCTCATTTAAGTTCTGTAGAAAAAAAGGAGAGACAAATTCACTGCCTTCAGAGAGGTAACTAATAGCTGGAGGTCACAAAAGTTTTTTATCACATGAAAATTGGACACTGTGCTGTTGCCCCAGCTTTTATTTCATTAAATGCAAGTCTTCTACATAGAAGATTTGACAAGCCACTATTGCTGATAATAAATATCTGCGTTTCTAAAACCAGTGTCTAAAATACCTTGCATAGTAGGCACAAAATGGAGACTCGCATACTACTACATTATGCAAAAATGGTCACTTAAATCCTTTATTTCTTTATGTACAAAAAATCATGTTTTGTAATGTAATGGCAGCAGTATGATGGGAGATGGTGGAATGTGTCCTTTTCTCTGCTTGTCCCTGCACTAAAGCCAAAAGAATTTAGAGAGCAGGAAGTCTGAGTGAACATCGTCATGTGCGGCAAGAGGAAGGCCACTTCTGTGTCCTTTTTCAGGCTCAATGACTACTGCACATTTTAGACAGAATTCCTCCCTGCACCTTCTCTCAGATGATGTATTTCTCTCCAACCCCTTGTAAAAAAGCTTGAATTCACACGCTGTAAACATGGGCTGTGTATCACACCCTGCAAGCGGACCTGTTCCTTATTTCTCCATGTAAATTTGCAGCTTCATTTCTAGCTCCAAGACCTGAGGGTGCTATCAGCAGAAAGGCTCAGAATTACAGGCCCATCAGAATTTGAGGTCCCACCATCACAGGGCAAAACTGCAGCATGATTTTCATGTATGCTAAGACAGATTCTAACCCAGGTTTTCTGAAAGAATAGGGTTTGGCAGTCATGCATTTGTGGTCACATACACTTACAAAGTAAGTGTTGCAGTTAACTAAGTAGGCTACGATTTCCACAAACAAATTTATACCCAGTGATTTATGCGCCAAATATTAGAAATAGAGGAAAACAACATATAGATTTGTATAATATACTGGCAATTTGAAAAATTGAAGCTTTATCAAAAGTTGTATAAAAATAATAAGATGTATTTTTCATTTTAAAGGATCCTAGATGATCTGTCATTTGTATATGTAAAATCTGTGTGTATAAACCTATGTGTGCATGTGTTGCTATGTTCATGCAAAACAAGCATCAATATATGCTGAAATGACCAAAGGAAGTGCCTCTGAAAATGAGATCATTAAGTGTCTTTCTCCTGCTTTTTTGTTTCTTTCACAAGCCTGGGCACTAGCATACTGTCAAGCTGTGGATGTTTTGCTCATAGTTTAAACTGAAGTAATCACTCCATCTTCCTCCTTTAAATTAAAAGAAATCACCTATTTCATTAATTTATGCTATCACTGATAACCATTCTTTGAGGTTTTTAGACTTCTTCAACATTAAAATCCATTCTGATTTTTCTGAACAGAGAAGTTGCTGGCATCTAAATGGATTGATAATTGTAATCTGGAGTTCTGTTACCTGTGATCCTTTGGTATTAAATATTATCTTTATATTAATGTCCTATCATGTCAAAGTCTCGATTTGCATTAAATTAGAGCTGGCAGTCAAAACAGTAAAGTAGTGGCATTGAACTGCTGACTAAGCAAAAATGATTAAACACCATAGCTGGTACTAGAGCTAAGTGAAGTCAAGTTAGTGTCGCACAGGTGTATAAAGTCTAATTTCTCTCACTCAAGAGTTATGTTTGTTGTACACGGCATTGACATTACTCTCCAAGTAGTGAAACAAATACTGCACCCTTTTGTTTCCCGGTCCTGACAGCTATTTTTAGCTATCTCTGTAAATAACAATTTAGATAAAACAGACTTACTTCCTCTCGGGTTTTAAAGATAATCCTTCCAACATATCCTTCTTCTGGGAACCAACTGTTCAAAAGCTGCACTACCCCTTCCTCAGGCCCAATCACTCTCTGGAATGGGGGTTTTCTGCATTCACTCTTTTCTTTAGATATAAAACTCTTCTCTTCCATCAGAAAATAGTCTGCAGCACACGACTCGATGCCTTTTGTGGCAGCCAAGAGCTGAGAGAGACCACAATAAACACACAGCAATTAGAATGCTAAAGATAAATGCTGCATATTTAGTAGTTATGAGAATGAATAAGGAGGCTTTAAGAATCACTAACTATCCTGACAGTGCAAGCAAGATTTCTGATGTGCTATTTATTATTCAGATATTTTACTCCAGGGTAATGTACTGTTCTCTTTAGCCTAGCCAAGCAGTTCAGCTAGTCCAGACAAGGCAGTACTATTTAAGCTTATTTCTGTGCTGTTTGGCTGGCCAGACAATTTATTCATAATCCCAGGACAGTACAGTCTTTTCCCACTGCTACAATAACAATCCCTGTTGAGTTAACTGGTTTTTCTACTCATGAACTTAGCCCTCTAACTTTTACTCTGTATTCCTACGGTGCTCAAGTTCAAAGAATTGCGTAGAAATGTTTGCCCTTGTTGAAAGGAGAGCCCACTGCCTCTGTCGGTCAGAAACATTGTTTTCCTCATCTGCATACATCCAAACAGTAAAATACTAACAGGGAATATGTTCTAAGATTGTAAACCCATTCTCTGAAGCCAAGATTGGGAAACTTTCACTGATGCTATTGTGTGTTTGTAATGTAATTAATTCCACAGTAGTATTTGGCTAAATCACCTCCTTGCTGTGATGAATGAACAACAACCGTGCATATGAGAAATGCAGGGAGATGAATGTCCAGAATGATGTTAGTGTGGATTCCTGCAATTAAGAGTCTGCAGTTCAGTGGGCAACTTACCTGATGGAGAAGCTGTGCAGCCGTGGTCCCTCCACTTATATTAAACACAGTGAAAGGCTCTGGGCCTGGAATTCCATGGATTGTCACTCTGTAGGTCACAGCAGCTTTCCTTTCCCCCATACTAAACAACTGTTCAGGCAACATTCAACAGGTTACTGAACGGTTTTACACAAGTATGTTATTTTTAGGTTGCTTAAAAGAAACTGTACACACAAGTTGTAAGGACCTTGACAGACCAAAGCTACCCAGGTAATGCATGGCTCTTACACTACAGATCCAGGTATTAAAAGAAAACGAACAAACCAGCCTCCCCAGAGAGCCTCCCCTGCCCTGAAGCTGAAGAGAAAGAAGAAAAAGTAAGTTTTCCAGTGGGAGTACATGAACTGCCACCGGACAAAGGGCAGACCTCTATTGCTCATTATCCATTCTAGCTGAACCCAGACTATTTGGATTCAGCTTATGAATTACTGGATGAAAATCCGTAGCTTTGTTTTACCCTCTAAACCATTTATGTTCTTCCCTTCTGCCCTAGTAATTCACCAATATATGTATTGGACATGTATTGACAGGAGGGTAACATCTGCAACACATATGCTGCACACACAGTAGCTCAGGAGGTTTTATCTAACACTTTAGGAATCAGCAAATTATAATATACATGCTTAAAGTTACTAAAACCTAAAACTAGGAGCTATGAATAGAATCATAGAATCAGAATGGTTTGTGTTGGAAAACAAAAGAAGAAATCACATTCATACATGCATACATACATATGTATTTTTTATATACGTTATACACACATTTGTATGTGTATGTATACATGTTTGTACATATAAATGAGCAAATATGTAAGTACATATGTATTTATGGAAATACAGACTTTGTCTTTTCCTGTGACAGAATTCAATTTTACTCTCATTATCCCAAAGTTGCTGGTAATTTGCATCTTTTTTTTTTATTTTGTCCCAAATGCATCGCTTATGATTCATAAAGAAATGCATGAGGCACTCCGAACCTTGCTGCTCAGCCGTACTCCTCCCCCAGCACAGGAGTTCTACTGCTATAGCTAAATACACCAGAAGTCAGACTTTGAAAAGATTTACCCTCCAACAGTCTGAGCAAGGCAGGATAACATTACTTCTACTGAAGCCCAAAAGAATTAGGCATCGAGATACTTCAGACTCCTGTGCAGGTTTAGGGACTAATGTCTTTGAACAGTCTGGTTCCAGAAGTTTCCAGAGCACAGCAGTCACTAAGACAATACACGGCATTCACAAGAACATAATTAACTTACCATAGATGCGGGCAGAGTGTTTCCAGAGGGAATTTCTTCCATTCTCCGACTGTTTATGAACAAACTAGAAATTTCTAATGCTTCATTGTGCAGGTTACGGAGCTGGACATGTCTATAGCCTAAAGAGAAAAAACCCTTCTGTAAGTACATTGCCACATCCCGGAATGCAAGTCTCCTAAATGAAAACTGAAATTTGCTATATTTATACCTACAATTTGCCACATCTATAGGCTTTAAAGCACTGTAATAACACTGCAGTAACACTCTTTGACTGTACAACAGCATAACATGAATGGTGTGAACTGCCGAGTGGCTCATACAGCCGCCTACCTTTGTTTTGCCCTAAATATTCAGTATATTCATATATGAAATAGCTAAATATTAGAATATGAATGAAACAAGGACAAAATCTCACTGGGAAAATGGGTATCTATAGCCAGATCTCCTCATATGTTAAGACTGTTGTGTGTTATACAGTGGCGTGAAGCAAATGTGAAAGTATTTTAATGTTCTGCTGAAGGGCTGCTGGCAATACGGAAACTCCCTCTCCCAGGTGTCACAGAATTAATGATGCTTCCTCATCTCTCTCACCTTTTTTCACATCTCTTCCAGCCATGGCTGCAAGATGGGCAATTCCCCTCTGCCCAGTGATCACCAATTGCAGCAGTTTTACTGGGTAAAGGAAAGAGAGGGAATGAAACCAATCCCCGCTGCCTAAGGGAGCAGCAGGTCTTAAGGTGAACACAACCTCAGAGCCACAGCTCAGGATCGGAGCACCTGCACACAAGATGTCCCAGTCTCTGCATAAGCACAGGATCTGACTTTTTACAAGTCACGGGGCACCCTCCAGCTCGCAGGGAGTCTGTCAGATCAGCATCATACTGCCAGCGCAAAGCTCGCCGTCTGAATTTTGCTCCCTGTCTCCTCTAGAAAAATGCAGCCAACTGATTAAAAATATCCCCCTCCCGGCAGGATTCAGTCCAGGAATCTCTGGACCATTCTGGCATAGGGTGTCACTGCAAACTACACTGTACCTCTCTTTAGAGCTTTTAGGGGAATGATTCTCTGGGCTGTTACAGCTGAGCTGTTATTTTCAACAACGGCAAACCGAAGAAAGACCAGATCTTCAAAGTGAACCCGGAAAAGGAACTGTTCATTCCACATGGGGTTGAGAGTGTTGCGATGGATGGGCTTCGTCCGGAAATGGCAGCTGTCCAAAGGCATCCCCAGCACGTCGATTTCGATGCACGGGCTGCCTGTGCTATTGCTAGGGCAGACGTTCTGTCCAGACACAATCTGAAGCCGAGGAGTACACAGAGAAACCAATCAGTGGAGTAATTCTTTTCTTGTCATGATTCTGAGCTAAATACTGTTTATCACACTCCTAAGCACAGTTTGTTAACATGCTGATTTAATTACAACACTCCCCTACTTCTGTAATTGCCAGGGCAGACATTTCAAAAGCAGAGCTGCCTCAAGTCCCTGCCCCCTCTTGCTATGGTATCTTTCCTCTGAAAATGATACACCATACATCATGCGTGTAACCATGCAAGGCATCTGGAAGTTAATTCAGGAAGAATGTACCGGTAACATAGTGAAAAAGGATCAAATTTTCCTCTCCATTACTGTGGGGCGATGGCACTGACCTCTGGCTTGCTTTGGCATACACAACACAGGAATTAGGGGTGCAATTCCCACCGCTGGGAGAATTGAGAATTTTGATTCTTATGAACCTCACTTTTCTGAAACATTCCCTGGAAGGCAATGCTTCTTAGAAGACTTTTTTTTGGCCATAAATCCATGAATTATGTATGTTATTATATAAGTTTAAAAAAAATATTTTTTTAAGATTCAGTACAGCATTTCATAATGTTTTGGGGTTTTTTTTTGTGTGTAGCTTCTCAAATGTTCACAAACGTGTGAAACATCCGGGCACATGTTGTGTAGTCCCAGGGAAAAAGCTTTCAGGATTGGGTTTCGACAAATATTGTGAAGGAAACAGTGGAAGTAACTATGGATACAAAGCAGCCAATAAAATAAAGACAATTCTTTGCTCCTTCCCCCTCGAATCAGAAGCACAAGTAACAATTAAAGACTCAATCTTTTCATACAGATGCATAAGCGCAATGCTGGTTAAAAACTGTAGCTAAACATTGTCTACTTCTATCTGTTTGGCTGCATGAAATTCCCTTTTAATGTACTTACTGTTAAAGAATATATAGCTGGCTCCTTATTATCAAGATCTCTTTCTAATGGACAAAACTGCTGGTACATTGAACAGTTTTTATCCCACAGAACAGGAGGTTTCAAAACATATCCACAGCCACCATTAGCCTCAAACATCGCTGCATTAAGTTGCAGAGGAAGATCTGTGAAAGCAAGATAGTCAAAACTGACAAGGAGCAATGGAAAACCTAACAGTGAAGACATGATGTCTTCACTGCATTAAAGCTGTGCACTATCAGTTCATTCTTGGTTTTCAGAAATAGCTGTGATTTTTGTACCCTATGTATCCAATACTTAATTATACGAAACTATAATAACAGTTCATTTTCTTCTATCCTTTTCCATTGTCTTTATCCAATTGTAGGGCTTGCCTACACATAGCTATTTGGTTTCTAGGTATTTGCCCTGAACTGCAGAATGAAAAAGCATTGACTTTGTAGTTTTGTAGATGACCTAATGGATCCCCCACCAAAAAGGTGCAGGAACACAATATAGGATAGAAAATTGCTGCAAAACCTTTTGATCAACATTAAACCAGCATCTAAGGTGACACTTCTAAGTAAAAAATAGTTCAGTAGCTTTTTATACTTGAAATTATCCGAAAGAGATAACAGATGGTTGAACTGGGGTTAAAAAAGAACCTTCAGCAATGAAATAATAATAGTAATAATGGAAGGTGGTGTTGTGTTGTCCAGGAATTTCTGTGCTATCAGGAGATCTGCTGCATTGGCTCAGGAGCAATATGGGGATCGCTACTTTCAAGGACCAGATTGTTATAGAATCATAGCATAGTTTGGGCCGAAAGGGACATCTGTCCCCTCTGTCATCTAGACCAACCCCCCTTCAATGAGGAGAACCACATCCAGCCTGGCCTTGAATGTCTCCAGGGATGGCGCAACCACCACCTCTCTGGGCAACCCGTGCCAGTATTTTACCACTCTCATTGTAAAGAATTTTTTCCTCATATCCAGCCTGAATCTCCCCTCTTTTAGTTTAAAACCACCACCCCCCCCCCCATCCTATTGCAACAGGCCCTGCTAGAAAGTCTCTCCCCTTTTAAGAATTGAAAGACTACAGAAAAGTCTCCCTGGAGTCTTCTCCTCGTAACAGCAGGTAAAAACAAACATCAAATGCAAATTCACATTTTAAGGGCTTATTTCACATTTAAAATGTATTAAAATGTGTGTTTGTGTACCCATACCATCTGTTTGGTAGTTAAGAGCCACGAGCTGCACACCGTGGAGCCAGAAGATCAGTGGATGGGGATTTGAGGAGTCGATGCGTGTGGCAGCAGGGTAGGTCCTCAGGAGCTGGCAGGTGGTGTGCTGGATCAGCTTCTGAGAGTACCGCCTGCACAGCCGCTTGGCAGCGTTCTCGTTCAGGGAGGAGATATGATAGCACTTGGGCGTCCTTATGATAGCACTGAGGGAAGCTGGAGAGTTGTAAGGAGAGCAAGGATCTTCCCAGGTCTGCCGCATCACATCGAAAGGGCCTAGAAAATAAACAGTACCCTCAAGTTAGAGCTGCAGATCCAGAGACTCCAAAAATTCATTGCTTCCTGGTGAAGGATGCATGCATGTTTTGGTTATGGTAGGAAAAGTTGTTCCTGGAAAATGACACTACTCAGTGTGTCACATTCCTTCTTATACTGTAAGAACAATCCATGAGAGGAAATGTAATGTTTAAGTATAGAAATGATATCATGATTAGATGTGCTAACAATCATATTCATACATAAATACTGAATTGGCATTTGCCTGAATGAAATAAAATAAAGGTATAAAATTCCATTCTTCCTGTTTATACATTTTACATGAGGAAGGGAGGCAAGATTGAAATCCAGCTGCTAAGTCACCAAACAGGCAGCCTACAGAGGCTCTAAGTACTAGAGGACAAAGCGAACAGAATACTTATGTTCTTAGGAGTTAGACACTAGACTTCTTCATTTTTAGGACACTGGCCTCTAGAAGGGAATCTAACCTGTCTGCTGCAGCCATGCCCTTGGGCCGAAAGAAATACAATGTTCCTTGGGACAGAAAATGAGTACAAGAAAAGGCACAACTCTGACTTTCTGTTTATGTCGTTCTCCAGAAAGGCAGGGGGTCTGGGTCTCATTCGTGCTCCAGGCTCCAGTACAGAGCCTTTTCTGTACTTTTTTTGTATTTCATCTGTTCATACACAGAAGTACAATTTCCAAGTTCACAAACTGAATCACTTGTGGAGTCTAAATACCTCCACTGTGGAACACAGGAGTTTGCACAATTACACATTTGGACTTGGCTGAATTTTAGGCAACTAAGTTCTACTTCAGACACTAAAAATGCTTTTCTGGATCCAACCCAACAGCTCTGCCTTCCATTTGTACTTTGAAAATATTCACTCATATCTTTTAAAATACAAACTTGAAAATACATCACTTAAATTATATGTTAGTTTTGAATCATTTATGAATTAGGGTCGTCATATTCCTGACCAAGTAATGCTATTTTAACATTCTACACTCAACACTTCAGTTATAATGGTGTTACTGTAATACCTGCTGCACTAACAAAAAAACATTCCGAAGTTCAACATCTTACACGTTGTAAAGTATTTGATCTTTAACAACTTGGGCCGGTACATGTGTTGGATTACAGTCATTCCACGTGACTGGTGAAAGAAGATGCTAACTTTACCTTTTCCAGATGCTTTGGCAAGAGTAGCTGACTCCCCAGGGCTCAGCCTGCCAGGATTGTTGCCAAAAATGGACTTCCTGCTCTTTCTTTCTTTTCCTCTGCTAGAGCCAGATGGGTTTAGAGTTGACAAGCCTGTTCCCATAAATGTAAAATAAATGAGCCAAAAAACATGACCAAGAGGGCATGACATTTTCCATCATATTTTACATTATTTTTGAAGGCATGAACATGCCTATCATATAGCACACAGGGCAAGCAGCATATTTGTTCTCCATAATTAACATCTTTACATACATACATGTCTTTATATATGTATATATTATGTATGTTTATGTACACAAAGTATATAAAAACTTACATAAGGCAATACAATATATAGTTATATCTCTCTGTGATACAAATTTTCTCATTTTACTTTTTGGCTTGAGGAAGGCTGTGGCTCTGTCTCAAATCACCAAATGGTCCTAAACTAATACTAAAAAAAATGCAGTAACAGCCTTAATGTAGTCATCCTTAGAACAATAAAAAGAATAAAAATCCTTTCTACAGAAGCAGTAAATCTGTACAGTAGTGAATATCATGGAATTCATCTTGGATACCTACATAATTAAATACATGCAAGAACATGATTTAAAAATCTAATGTAAAGGAAAAAGCTCAAATGCTGTTATAGAATCACAGAATAGTTAGGGTTGG